TTTATGAAACTTTTTCTCTAGTTGTTGGTTTACTGTTATAAAAGCAACATTTGAATGGAAACGAAAACGACTACGGTAATTTCCTCGCACGCGATCAAATCTCGTACTCGTAGTCGTACTCGTAGTCAAATCTAAAGCTCCCTATTGTGAGCATGACCCGCATTCTACTCTGTCGATACTTTCTTTACATAACATACTCTCAAGGAATGAAAAATGCATTGAGAACGCTACCTCCAACCGGAAATTTGAAGGCAAACTTGAAGGCCAGTTCCAGTCTTTCACGCATGCGAAGAGCGCCCAATCAGTCAATCATGATATAAACTAAAGATAGCGTTCCAGTTAAATTCATTTCAATGGAAAAATGAAAGAAATGGGATGAAAAATGTCGCCAGAGTAAACCGTGGGTCATGCTCACAATTTCCTTGCGACTACCTTACACATACCATCGCTCTATGTCAGAAATCACGTTGCAAGATGTAGCAAAAATTGCCTCGTGGAACATGACAACATTGTTGAAACCGACCTATCTGCGCATGCTCCAAATGTCAAAGGTTTTCCTTATAACGGTTTACAAATGGCCCATCCTTCAATATTAAATAGCACGCGCAATTTCGTCTGAGAACACGAACTACGTTCGTCTTGACAAATAACCCGTTTGTTTGCGCATTTATTTTTCTGTTGTAATTTCAGTTCAGTAGAGAGCTTGAAAGATGGTTAGAGTGTTGAAAAAATATATTCATTTAATTCAAAAAAATATATTCATTCAAAAATATATTCATTTCGTTGAAAAAATATATTCATTCCAAATGTCAAAGGTTTTCCTTATAACGGTTTACAAATGGCCCATCCTTCAATATTAAATAGCACGCGCAATTTCGTCTGAGAACACGAACTACGTTCGTCTTGACAAATAACCCGTTTGTTTGCGCATTTATTTTTCTGTTGTAATTTCAGTTCAGTAGAGAGCTTGAAAGATGGTTAGAGTGTTGAAAAAATATATTCATTTAATTCAAAAAAATATATTCATTCAAAAATATATTCATTTCGTTGAAAAAATATATTCATTCCAAATGTCAAAGGTTTTCCTTATAACGGTTTACAAATGGCCCATCCTTCAATATTAAATAGCACGCGCAATTTCGTCTGAGAACACGAACTACGTTCGTCTTGACAAATAACCCGTTTGTTTGCGCATTTATTTTTCTGTTGTAATTTCAGTTCAGTAGAGAGCTTGAAAGATGGTTAGAGTGTTGAAAAAATATATTCATTTAATTCAAAAAAATATATTCATTCAAAAATATATTCATTTCGTTGAAAAAATATATTCATTCCAAATGTCAAAGGTTTTCCTTATAACGGTTTACAAATGGCCCATCCTTCAATATTAAATAGCACGCGCAATTTCGTCTGAGAACACGAACTACGTTCGTCTTGACAGATAACCTGTTTGTTTGCGCATTTATTTTTCTGTTGTAATTTCAGTTCAGTAGAGAGCTTGAAAGATGGTTAGAGTGTTGAAAAAATATATTCATTTATGCACACCAAGACACGAATCAAGCATGGCAGCAGCATCATTGCAAATAGGGAGTGGGGAAGGCGGGGGAGGGGGAGGGGGGGGGCATGCGAGAAAATATTTTAGGAGCTTTGAAGAGCATGCGTAATAGGATTAATCATTGGGTTTAAAACCATGGTTTTTGAATATTAACATTGGTAATCCCAATTCTAACATCAACCGCGATTCTTACCTTATTCGTAACCTACTCTAAACCTCAATAAACCCTTCTAGATAGCACGATACTTTGGCTATAAAACCTATGGAACGAAAACGAGGCTCTATAGCCAAAATGACCTACTTTCCAGAAAGGTGTATTCTAACTATAATCCTTAACATAATCCCTCCTAAACTTAAGACCCTAATCTTAAGTTAATTCCGTAACCCAAGTCCTTACCATAAACCACTCTAAACATCTTGTCCCCAGCGTTCATCTTAATCCTAACGCTAAGGTTAAAGTAAGGCCTGGGTTACGGGAGGATTAGGGATAAAATTTAGGTTAGGATTGAAACTTATTTGAATATATGGAAATTTATCCGAATTATGTATAAAGTAATTATTACAAGCAGCAGGGGACAGCAGAAAAAGCTGATGGTTGAATTCCGTTTTGGTTGCATGGTCTCCGTTTCTAAGCATTGATTTCGTGTGTTTGTGTCGTTAATCTTTGGTGACTTGACCATGTAGCAAGAATATCTCTTTCAAGATTGGAATAAGGTGCGTTTGTGTCAGTGTTGGTCATGTTATTTAATTTTATTCATGATTTTGTATCGACGACAGTGAATAGGCGCGGTACAGCGCTGTGGCGTCATGTTAAAAAGGTTTATAAAGCCTTATTAAATTGTAGTTTCTTTTTCTTGTGTGTTTTTATTGGTCTTGGAGTATGAAGTTAATTATCAACTAATAGTAATACCTTTAAGTGAATTTGTTTT